AAAATATTTTTATGGAAACTGTTGTAATAATGATTTAAACAGCCAAAGCAAAGCCAATCAGTCACTTTGATTCTCTGTAAATCATGAGCTTTAGAACAACTAGTTATTTTAGGGACGTCAGTAGTATTATTTTGAGAATAAATTAAGTCATTTGCAAGCGATCCGGATCCACTAGTTTTTGGTGTAATTATGATTTTTTACTAAAATATCATTCTTTTATCTGTTCACAACTGCACCTCCACCAGTAGCGAGAAATTGCTAGAGCTCCAACTAAATTCAAAATTGCTTTTATAAAACATTGAGTAATATATTGCCAGATTGTCCTGACAGAATTTGCCCTTTGCTCCGCTACACATCTGAAACTTTTTCATTTTTCCCAACTTATTTACAAAATCAAGTGTTTCCTCTCGGGAGCAGGATTTAAAATATTGCTCTGTTTACAAAATGAGTACGAGGAAAGTGGAGTGGAAATGGTATTTACTTGAAAATTCCAGTTCGACGATGGTGTATGGAGAAAGTACGTTAATAAGCGTCTACCTTAAAATCTTTGACTTTAAAATACATATAAGAGACACAATATTAGTGCAATTTGGAATCCAAATGCGAAATAAAAAACATATTAATAAAAGACTAGAAACAGAAATACATTTATGGCACACCAAATAGAAGTATTTTACTAGGCACTCTAACGTAAACTAAGGTAAAACGGACGATATAATTTATAATATATTTTAAACCTTCAAGGTATTATGCGCATATATTTTTCCAAATTATTTACAAAAGAATAATAATTCCCTAGAGACAATCTCTTAATTAAATATCATGGCTCATTACCGAGCCTATCTTGTAAAATATCTTTAAAAAATCATCTTGAAATAAAGCGCTAATATCCTCGGGACCCTTTATTTGACTCGTGAACCACCACAGTAATAATTCCACCACGATAAAGGAACAATGAAGAAAAACGGGCGGAGACACGCTTCGTTATGCTTTTGTGAGCAAACATAATTTACTACTTGGAGATCGTATTTCAATATTTGATTGTTCAAGCCTGTAGCAATGAAATATGAATGAACGAAACGGTAAATGGACTAAACTTTCCGATTTTTGTCGGCTAGAATTTCATTTAATTGATTTAAGAACTGCTTCAGATTATCTCGCAGCTTCAGCGTTTTAACTTGTAATGATGTAAATATTCAGAAAATTTTCTACGAGATGTTTAGCGAAAATCTTTTGTGTTTGTTTAATGGGTATAATACAGCATATAAATTGAGTCCGACTAAATTTGTAATCTTAAAAATGAATTATTCAACTGCGTAGTGATTATTAATTTTAAAACGAACATTAAACGTTCTGTTCCCACTTTTAAATTGTGTTGTTATTCTGCACCGTTTGTAGCGATGGGTGGTTCAATCTCTGATGACCTCTGTGTTTGTATCTTCTATCCATGACGATGGTACGTGATATATTTTGTACTGTTTTATTATATTTTTTTATTTTTTTCCATTGTCGACTGTACTGTACGTAGTTTATGTTGTAGTATTTTGTTTTGTTTTTTTACTCGCTTTGTCCATAAAATTGCAATGCAAAATACAATAAAGCGTATTTTGATTTGATTTGATTTGATTCCTTGCTGGATATTTTTATACTCATCGCCTGATAGGAAAATTTTTGCTCCTAATAAATAACTCCTAGTTGCCATTAATTGACCTTTTCCGCTTTTTGAATTTTTATAGTGTAGGTGCAGTAGTCACGCTTATGTGATTCAAAAAATATGTTATGGTTTCAGCAACTCACTTTACAATTTATTGGTGTTGATTGTTTTTGATTTGGGGAAACTATTGAACATTATTGAAAGTAAATACAGACTTTGATTGCTCAATGTGAAACAAGTTYAAACCGTTTTGCATTGAGCGCCTCTATGACAGTTTACTACTATTTACATGTTAAAAAATAACTTATAATTTCTTTGATATTTTACCATTGTGTCTTCATATTTTAACACTGTATATTTTATCTGCTGGAAAATTCATAGCTCGAAAAACCTTAGCTTCCTAACAGCCATATTGAGAGTTGCCCTCATTTTCCACTATCTCACTTTACACTTAGGATAGCTAGCTAATTTGGGTTTCATCCAGCCTAGGGCCACTGTTATAGGCCTGCATAAGAAGACAAGAAACTTTGCTCCACCAGCTTCTACTATAAACCCAGTTTCCGTGCAAGGTTAGGAAGGGTCTAAACTTATATGAGCAGAATACAATTGTACAATCTGTTCAATTACTTCCTTTTCGCATCGATTATATACACATACATTTTATAAAATTAATTCAGTGTGATACATTTTATTTCACTTTAAGAAAATGTATGTTCCAAACTGTGGAGAATTATTATCTCTTTGTCTATGCAAAGTTATTTAAATTTAAACACATTCCGTCTATAAGCGCGAGCTTGAAGGAAAACTAATTACTAAGATATTAGGAAATGCATTTTAATTACAAAATGTAAACTAGTAATGCTCCATTTCGCGAAAGGGGAATTATGAAAAAACTGAAGTGCAAATTTGCATCTAGGTTCTGCATAATAGAGTTTCTGAAGAATTTTCGACATGCACAGTGAAGTTTTTTAATACTTCAACGCGGAACCTGAAGTCCTGTTTGTGGAAAAAACAGCTCACTGCGTTTCTGATAAATTATCTATTTAATTATTCGCATTTCTCCAGTTGTAATCTGCTTAAAGTCGCATCATTTACAAAAATAAATAATTCGGGAGGTTTTGAAGCGCATTGAAATAACGAACTAAGGAACTACATAGAATTGGTTTTGGTTCAGTAAAAAGAAGTTTTATTTTTCTCAAAGAAGAATGTTTAATTGTATAAATAGTTCTTACACTGTTGAGTACTACGAACATTTGCGTAAGTTCATATATTAATATTTAAACGGTTTTTTGACAGGTTACATTTTAAGTTTTGAATACTCCGAAAATATCAAGGGAACAATTATGAGACAAGAAAACCCACAAAAATTCCATATTTATAGTTCTTTTGAACTGAAACTATTCATGATGCGAGAGCAAATGATTTGCTAAGATGGTTAAGGAAAATGTGAAACGTTATCCAAGTGTCTTAAAACGCAAAGTTCTTCAAATGATGGGTTTACTTTTTTTCAGCAAGTTAAGGTTTTAGATGAAACCGTTGACTTGGTAATTTTTACTTTGAAAATTTACGTTTTTTAAAACATAAAATTGATTATTTTAGAACTATTATAAGACATTATTAATATTACAAAAGAATCGATAAATATTTCGGCAGGAAGGAGCATTTAAATCTAAATTAATGGCATATAAAAACAAAGATATAACAAAAGTGTGCTTCATTTCAACTACTGTTAAGAACAGTTCTCTAAAAAGTTTATCACTTCCCTTAGTACATCATTTTGGGCTATAAATTTGATATAATTTGTTATCATTTTCTTTCAAACGAAAGCAATCAATTTGTTTTTCCATAAGAATGTTTTTTACTGTTCTGTACTCTGTGCAGGTTTTGTGCAAGCTTGTCGAAGAGAAGAGATGTCGCTTGAAGACGAATAAATGTTTAATTGCAATTTCATGCTTTCAGAGAATACAGAAACACACTGCAAAGTGTAACTTTGATAAATTTATATTAAATTTGTTAGGAAACATCTAACAAAATTTAATGTGTATGTAAATCTTGCGTTTATTTACTTTTGAAATAGAAAGCTTTCATTCGCTTAAGAAAACTAGTTGATCGATTCTACTAGAAAATTTACTATTACTAACAGTCGATCTTTTAGCTATAAAACTACCTTAATTTATTTCTAAAATATAAAGCCGAAATGAGAATCCAGATATTTAACTATTAAAGTTTTTGAGATACACATCCAAATATGTCTATGCCTGTTGGGTCTTATCTAATATCTTTAACGATTTTAATCATCATACTCCAATATATTTTCTGAGTAACAATCTAGTCAAACTTTAGTAGGTTTTAGACACGGACAATATTAGACAATTTATATGAAAATAATTCAATTTAAAATAAATTATTGTAAGTTGAATCTTCAAATCCCTAACAGAGTAACAGTCAATTCTAATTGACACTCGCCTACAAAAATTATATTAAAAAAAAACCAACTCTCAGATTAATTAAATAGAATAATGACATAAATTTAGTAACGTTTACGACGCAAGAAAATTTAAATAGATACATGTTTCATTCCTCAATTATGTAAATGTAAATCCACAAACAACAAAACTTTCACAATTTGACAATTCGTTTTCTTTGAAAATAGCTAAAATAAACAATGATATCTAAATCGAATCAACACAATCTTAGGTCACATTGATTAGAATAAAATCAAAATACAATCAGAATAAAAAGATAGAATAAAGATAATTAGAACAAAAGTAAACTATCCCTTGATGCTTACAATTATATCTGGTTTGGTTTCCATTGAAGTTATTCAATCGTAACTCACGAGACATACAAACGTAATAATTCTAGAACTAATGGAGAGCAAATATTCCCCACAGCCACAAAGTACCGAAAACTTGTAGCGCGTTGCGAAATGGAGAATAGGGTAGATGCCCCAGAGTCATGTATGTTTGTATGCAGAGTTGCATTTTAGTTTATGACATTTGTTTAGGTCTCATATTTTATAGCGTAAGTAAATTTATTTCTATTGTGCTTGCCGCTGTCTTCTCTTTTGCTTAGATGCATGTGATAAGGAAGTTCAATCAATAAGAAATTTAGTCGTAGTTGCTAATACAGAAGGATATCGAACTGTTTGAATATTCACTCACTAAAGGCAATTAACTCTAATAATATAAGACTAATATAAGACAATATAGTCTTATTAATATAAGACTATATGCATACAATACTATTTGATGATTCCCTTTCATGCACTTTCTGTACACATTTTCTCTCACAGTGCAGGAAAAACTGATTTAGCTTTTACTCGCAAAATAATTTTTGTGCTTACTTTCTTCCAGCTCAGTGGGTCAAACGTCTATTCTAAGCAATGAAACTAAAAGACGTCGCTCAAAACAGAGCAACCTGGGAGTCATCCAATTATGAAGATGTTAAAACTTTCAAGATTTCACCATTGTAATTTAAAATGTAAACACGAAACTCGCTATTTCCGCCAGAAGATATTAAACTCGAGCACAAGAGAATTCAGACTTTACAGTCCAGCTTTGCATAAATGACTGTAGCAAGAATAATTGTTGTCTCGGCTACTTAATCCGTCTTAAAACTCCTTAGGAAGTGTTCCGTATGGCAAGCTAGATGCGAAATTTAAGCGCACTGCTTGAGAAATTTAGCTCGGTGTAAATTCCTGGTTTTCTCTTATAATCAGCGAAATCGTGAAACTTCAGTTTTCGTATAAAGACGAATATTCGACATTTCCGTTCAAGTCCGACATTTGGATGCATAAACAAGAACACAAGTCTTCGTGATTGATTAATGGCAGTGCAACGCTTTTGTACAAATGGAAATGTGTTCGCTTTTCGGAGTTTAAACGTTTAATGAAAGACAGCGTTAAGAGAAAACTTATTCACTTATACCTTGAAACCGAAAAAAATCCGGCAACTGAATATCATTTCGTCTTTTCATATACAGGACGATGTGTTAACAATGAGTCGCTTCAAGATTTTTAGTCAAAAGCCTGTGTTTCTTCTAATATGAACAATTTCGGAACTGATTATAATGTATGTTCCTATAAATTTCATTTTTATAATAAAGTTCCTATGAACTTTAAGGTTTCTTCAAAACAAGTGCCAGCTTCCAATATGTCCCAATTTTAAATATACGTATTTAACTTAAATTACTATATCACTAATACGAATATTTAATTATATGAATAATACCCCGTAACTTCAAAAATACCAACTTTTGGAAATCGCGTTTATTCGCTAAGAATTGAAACACTTAAAGCTTTAAGAAGTCATCGTGTTCAACACAAGGACCAAATATATTCGATGCAATTGAAAATTCAAAATGTTTTTTTTTATTGCACATTTTTATTCGACCGTTTCGTTCGAGTAGACCTTTAAATACATTTGCATCAAATTATGTCAATTTATTACAGTCAATAATACATTTCCAGAACTATTTAAATAATTTCAGTACAGCTATAAACATTGCAAAATAATATAAAAAATAAACATAAATAAGTTTTCGGATTGCTATTTTCAACTGAAAAAAATATATCAGTCTTTGCTATAAAACATGTGAACAAAATTAACAAAATGTTCTATTTAAAGAAAAAATGACTAAATACACTTTTCGATTTTCAAACCACTTTTTTTCTTTGTGGGAACTAGGGTAGATTAGGATAAATTTGAAGAAGCCAAGAATGTCTCAAACCAAAACTACACAAAATAACGTCAACACGTATTTTGAGAATATAGCACTTTCTGCTCTGCACTCTGACCAAGTGAAAAGCATTGACGCACATATGTTTTCCAGACCTAAAAACGAAGTTTTCTAGTTACATAATTTTTGCTATAAATTTTAACTAATTTCATTTAATCTACATTTCCATAGCATTCTAAAACAAACGTTATTGCGATACAAAATAAAAATTGAATTTTAAATGACAATTACCACGATCAAGAATAAGGTTCAATCTTTTCAATCAATCAAAAATTTTAACTRAAACATCTTTCCAACGTGCCTTTTAACGAATGAAACGCTTCATCTAAGGAACCATTCACCTATCTGAGAAAACTCCGTAAATAAAATGTTAGCTTCAAATGTCAGATGCTTCCTTCATATAATAGTCTGTGTGATTAAACACGCATAAAATGGTCCAAGTAATATCCATCGTTCGATAATTCTACTATCATAATATTTGAGATGTTTCCAAATGCGACCGTCACCCACTATTTAAAATATACTACCCCAATTAAAATTTCCCTTGGCGTCAAACATGCCAACATTTTAAATGGGATTTACAATTCGATTACATTTCATTTACTTCAATTCTTATGCGACTGCTTATTATAAATGCAAAAATCGTTTTTTTTCTGCAGGGAACACAACCTCTCGAATGGACGTTCGTGGGTCACTTGAGGAATTGCGTGAAACATTATTTTTTCACGCATTGTAGTCAAATACATTTTTATTTGAAATATAGTTTTCCTGTAGTTTCATTCCATTAATTTTTCAAAGGTAGAAAGGTAATGGATGAAACAGTTTGTTTAATTTTTTTATCCTCATTTATACTGCCTAATAAAACTATGACGTTTCATTTAAAAGCTTTTCCCCGATTCATTCGGGCGTATATAAAAAGTAGGTTTTTTTAGTGCAGACGTGCCCAATCGATGGGAAAGTATTACAAATTCACTTCGCCAAATTAATTTCCTTTAAGCGATTTTCTCTACAAGAGAAAATAATTTTCTTTGCACTGGAGCAATTAGAACGATTTTAAGTTGAGCTGTTACAAAAATATTATCTTCCCTTTCAGTGGAAATTGTAATTTGTTTTTTCTGCAAAAACTTTAACAGTTGTTATCGTCAGAGTCTCTTTTGTGCGTTAAAGTGTCGTTCGTTGGAAATATTCTTGAAATTATTGCAGGCGAAACATGTAGAGGTCTTGATGAGTCCTGCGTACACATGAATATATCTTCATGCAATTTGAGCCGTGTGCGTAATACTGATAACTATCTAATTACTGAACTAAAAATGAACTAAAGCTTTAGAATAAGGAATTGTTTTGTGTCTTCGGAAATTTTCACTAGAAGAGAAAACAATTTGTTCAGTAGATCAGTTCTATATGGGCGACGCAGATTAATGTTCTCAATTTTTTTTTTTTTGAGTCATTTGACTGCCTCAACATATTTGTCTTTTAATGAGACAGAATTTGTTCACGTCTTCTATCGGAGATTAATAAAAGGAATTTTTATTTTTTATTGTAAAACTGCTTTTTGAGAAATCTTAATAGAATACGTGAGGAAACTCTGTCATTTAAAAAGACAAAAGTGTTGAGGCAAATAATACAGGGTGATTCAAAATTGGCGTTGTTCCTCTGGAGGTGTTGTCTGGCGGTGTCTTAGAAGTACAAAAAAAATTGTTTAAAAAATCAATTGATTTTAAAAACTGAGAAAGTTACAAAAAACTATATCAAAAAGACGGCAACAATGTTTTTCAAGGTAATCTGCCTAATTAGCATTTGGGAAGTTTCTGTTACTGCGTAATCTCTTTATTAGCCACTCTTTTCGAGCAGCTTCCCGTATTCGGTTAATTAAATCCTGCTCAATTTGTACCGGTGTTCCGTAATCCATTGGTTTAATGTGTCCTTGTGCTCTGTTTATTTTAGTATGTATTAGTAGTATGTATGTATGTATGCATATATGTCTGTATGTCTGTATGTATGTAAATATCCGTCATATTCCGAGCATTTTTCGTTCCCTTGCTTTCTGAGTTAGTTCCAGTTTATTTTCCGATTCCTTGGTCAACGTGAGTGTTTCGCTGCCATATGTAAAAACCGGAGAAATACACGATATGAACAGTTTATATTTCAGACTATTACTCGTTTTGCTCTGGAATATCGATCTAGATTTACCAAAAGCTGTCCATCGAAGTTCAATTATTCGGTTCACTTCCGCAGTTTGATCGTCTAGGCCCGTTTTCAGTTTGAGGCCAAGCTAACGGTGGACCCTTTCTATGACTTCATCTCCACYGTTGTATATYGATKATCACAACTCTGTGATCATCGATAATTGTCATTACTGCCGTTTTGGACAAGTTCATCTTCAAACTAATGTTATTCAATTCTCTACCCAACTGGCTTTTTCTGACTGCAAAACGAMGATTGTTCGCGAATGTAAATTTATGTTCCTTCCCATACCACTTCAATATRAYTTCTTCAATACACTGTCTGGGCMGAATGTAAATAACTATGTGATAGAGTGTCTGCTGGTTCCGATCCTGGACTYATATGTGCTTTCATWCAGCCTTACACGTGMTGTTGCKTTTTTTTATACTTATCGAATCGTTSTAGTGTACCTCAAGTCAACTCTACACTGGTCAAAACCGTCCAACGTTGACCAAGTCTCAACGGAATCRAATGTCTTTTCATAATCGTTGAATGGGAATGCTACCCATTCAACGATTATGAATTATTCCAATTCYCTTTCCATTCCAATTTTGCCTTCGTTGCACTTCTCAACTCAATCGAACGTCTCCCGCTTGCAGAAGACGATTCGTGCTGTAACAAGATCGGAATCCAGTTTGCTCTGTTGGTAGACGTTAACTTTTATATCACTTCGCCATGATCTTGATGGTGGTAGCAGAATTATAGTTCTATGGTTTTCCAGCTTCGTTATGGTTCATTTTTGTTTTACAATGTACACTGAAGTTGTCCTAAGATGTCGATACTTTCTCCAATGCCACACACATACTGAACAAGGCTGTTATTGATTTGAACAAAGTATCACCCTCTACCTTAATGACTTCAATCAATAAACCATATTCACCTGGATATACTATGTTTTTATTTCATCTGCGGCCTGTCTTAGATTATTCTATCGTTACATCAGGTATCTCTTTTGGTCCAGCGTTCAAATGAATGCTATTTTGTCTTGATGTGAACAATGTCTTGACTGAATCGTTCGGGTTTTTCCTCGTAACTTACAGATTTATTTCCTGTAATTTGTGAGCTTGGCTGGTAGAAGTTTCAAATTGAAATTCGGTTCGTCTTCAAAACATCTAGTATATGCAATAATTTTACCATCAGAATCCTTACCTTTCATGAGACAAAAATTGCTAATTTTAGCGGCTTAATTTTGAATAGCCTACATAAACTCAGAGCACAATATCCAAATGCCGAATACAATCTACTCAATTACTGCATAAACAATGACTCCTACGCGCCGGAATTAAGGGTCATACTTAAGCGCTGCGATGGAAGCCCGCACCCACGGCACTGATATCCTGATTTGTAACATGCATTCATCAACAACTGCTGTTCCCATAATGAACTCGAAACACGCACCCAATTAAAACCATTTAAGGCTCTTTACATGGATTAGTTGTGCCATCAATCCTAGCACTGTTTTCACTAGAACATACCGCTTAATTAAATTTTTGCAACGTAATCGGATCTCGTTAATAACGGGGCGTATAAGGCGCCACAAGGGATCGTTTAAAATCGTTGTTTTTTCCAACATTGATTTAATGGGTGTGGGTTTTATAAAGCGCTTAAAGCGATAGTGAAGCATTGTCGGGTGTGTACAGTTTTAAAATGTCTTAGCTGCATTCTTTCTAGAACAAATCCATTTTTTTTGCTTTTAGTTGCCTATGGAATCAGTACAATTAAACGTTTTTCTACTTTCAAGAGATATTTAAGTAAAGCAAGTATTTTGCGGGCCTTTCTCATACTTGCTAATATTTACTTTCTAGTAAATCTTTTAAGCGTCTGCTCTTCTTTCATATAGGCAGAATTTTGAAATCCACTGGCCATTCGCATCAAAAGGGAAACTTATTTTGAGATTTTATGAGGAAGACAATCCGATTTGCGTTGAGATTTAAATACAGTGTGCACCAACTAAAACACAAATCTTTTCTCGGTTGATTTAACTTTTTCTACTTAAAACTTTCCGTGAATCCCTGACCCTCATTACAGGGGATGAACCACCCCTAACAGTTTTAAATAGGATTTTTATTAGTTTTAGAGCATTACAACCATTTGCTGTTTTGATGCAGCCACTGATGAATAAATCGATTATTTGAAAGCTACTTTTAAAAAGTGTTCAAATGCTGACATTAGGATAAGTTTGCTTTGAATGTTTCTTGTACCTTCCGGAGTATTCTGGAGGATAATTTGCGGTATTGATCAACCAGGCGATTTCGCTAAACTTCAAATGTTCCTGAAGGATTGAAGTACACTTTCGACTTGAGACGACCCGATAAGACGGACTTAAATGTATTTAAATATGGCGACTTTTCCGGCCATTCGACGCTTTCTAACAATCCACTGAGCACGAAAATTTTAATCGAGAAAATGACAAATATCTAAACCACAATGTGGTTGTGCACCATTTTGTAAGAACGTCAATAGTTTAATGAATCGCGATTATTTTTGTAAATTGTTATTTAAATATTTTATTAATTATT